ATTTGTTTCAATTAAATGTCATCAAGAATAAACAACATTGTGACGGTTGGTTATTTGGGTTGAGACGCATACCTGATTTGTTTCCGATTTCAGCAGATTTGGCATTTCATACCCATGCTGGAGATATTATTATTATTATTATTATTATATAAATACACCTTATTATAGTTATAGTATTGAAACTACAATTCGAACATCCTAGAAAACCTAACCTGCTGTTAATGCAGGTAGAATATTCTCACCACATGGATTATTTGTCAATATTTGTTGCATTGCATTCATATGGCACGGCATTGGTGGTTACTTCCATGGTTACTTCACATGTTTATTTGAATTAATTGTTTCGGTTGCAGAAAAAATAGCATGTTTCATTCGGATCGAAAGTGACTTAGTTCGACTTGCAAATTTTGCTTTCGCTCGGCTTCGCTAAACGCTCCGCCTCGCAAATGCAAAATTCGCTTGTCAAACAAAGTGTCACTTTTGATCCTAATAAAACAATCTACTATTTTTTTCCTTTCCTACAAGTGTTACTTACCAACAACGATTAAGTTTATGAAATTTTGACCCAATTCGTTATAGCTGATGTTGAAAAGTGCGAATATAGTACAAAAAGTAAATAATACTGTGCATAACAGAATCCATGGAATAGTCAACATCAGTCTTTTCTGAAAAAAAAAAAGAGATCATCAAATTCAAGCAGACATGATATTGATAATATATGCAAGATGTCAAGCCATCGACATTGTGGAAATTGTTTTTCTTATTATATCTCAAACCGTTCCGTACATAAAAATCAAAAAAATCCTCAGGGCCGCCCAATTCCGATCATTCTTATCGGGTGGCCCATCGGAAACGTACGTCCAATTTGTTTGGCAGGGTGAAAACTTTTGACGCTAAAAATAGCGAACAACTTAAGAGGAGGTGATATCCCGAAATGTTTTCAAATGGGAATGGAAATCAACTGATACCTCATTCGAAAGGTCTTTTTTCTGCACTCGGCTCAAAACTCGCCCATTTTGGTTCCAAAATAAGCTCTTGAAGTTGACCTTTCTCATACTGACACAATGAAATGATTATTATGCATGTTGCAACACGACAACATAATTGAGTTAACAATGAGAGACAGAATTATGAGAAGATATTCAGAATAGACTTTCTCAAGTTCACGAAGCACGAATGAAAACCATTCATTATAACTGAGTGATTCATTCTGACAAGTACAGCCATAATTATTTTATGCCAAACGAACAGTCTTTGCTTTGCTATCCATGGTTACATCCAGACTTTGCTACGAAATTCCATGGTTACATCGTTGAAAACATCAACGCTGATAGACCAATCAGAATTGAAAGACAGCTACTATTTTAGCGATAAACACACGTCTCTGGCTTGTGATTGGTCAGATTATGTGATGAGTGAAATAGTCACTTATATTTTATTAATTAGATAACAATTATTTTGATAGCAGAAAAAAATTGCATGCTTTATTCGGATCAAAAGTGACTCTGTTTGACTCGCAAAATCTGCTTGCTCGGTTTTGCAGTCACATTTGATCCTAATAAAACAATATACTATTATTTCCTATTTATTGCTGCCCACTTTTCGAAAATCAATTAACTCGTAGCTTAAAAAACCAGCAATACGTTTGGAGAAGAATCAATGAATAGATTGTCATACAAATGGAGTCCTTAGCTGCTCATAATGCTGCTTTGCAGATATGTGGTGATTCTACAGGGTGTCTCATTGGGAAATGGAAAAATTTCAACGGTGGTTACAGCTCATCAACGTGGTTCTGGCTCTACCCACTGCTGAAGTTGAAGTAGGTAGCGGTATTCTGAATTGAATCGTTAATTGCATTTTTCGAAACAGGGAAGGCACTCCCTATCAAGAGTTTGCAGGTTTTGCAATGCTTGCTGATTCTTCAAAAGTTGTCCTCTCGACAATCCTGAGTCAATCTCGGTAAGTATGCTACAATCTTTCAGGCGGAGGTCTTCGCAATCGAATTGTGTGCTAGAGAGTTGACGAATAGACCTTTAGTAAACAAAAACATCAGTATTGTTTCTCCTCTGAACATCTTCCGATAAGGCCTGGTTCAGTAGAAACTGCTCTAGAGCTGTCGCTTCCAAACAGGCAGCATTCCATCGATGGCAGAAAAATCCAGGCTCTGAGACTAGAGCAGAATATGTCGAGGCTAGAGGCATATGCAATGAGACAATTCGATCATCGAAGGGTGCTCATAATGCCAAAATAAAATCAAAATTTGATGTTCATTTTGGTCCTTCGCCAAAATTGTAGGAAGAAACTTCACTTCCAGCTCGTTTCCTCCTCTAACCAAGGAAGATGGAACACTAGCCACAACTGCGCATTTATTTGCTGAAAATTCTACTCTGTATTCATCGGGAAAACAACCTCCAAACATAACGCCAATTGACAGTCATATGCTCAAGATCACCTCACACCAACGTACTATAGGGAAGATTTTATTGGGTCCCAACACCAACAAAGCTTGTGGCTCCGACGGAATCCCACCGATTGTTCTCAATAAATGTGCTCCCGAACTAACACCTGTTCTCTGCAAAATGTTCAACTACTCTTACAAATTGGGGATATTCCCGTCCAACTGGAGAAGTGCAAGAGTACAACCGGTTCCTAAAAAAGGCAAAAAGACCCTACCTAGCAACTACAGACCGATCGCACTGCTATCTACTATTCCAAAGATCATGGAGAAAGCTATCAACATCGAGCTAATGAAATACCTGGAACATTCAGGTATTATCAACGATAGGCAATATGGCTTCTGTCATCAGAGATCAGCTGGTGACCTGCTCGCCTACGTCTCACATATATGGCAGCAATCTATTGAAAAATATGGTGAAACCTTAGCCGTGGCATTTGATACCTCCAAGGCATTCGATCGAGTCTGGCACCACGGACTTCTCGCCAAGCTTCCATAGTATGGCTTGCCTTTCTAGTTATGTTCTCTGCTAGCTAGTTTCCTCTCAAACAGGTCTCTCCATGTAGTGGTCGACGGAGTTTCATCTGACTCTCCTATCATAAATGCTGGTGTTCCGCAAGGATCAATTCTAGCACCAACACTGTTTCTGCTCCATATCAACGATTTGTTGGAAGCAACTTCATGTCCAGTACACAGCTTCGCGGATGATAGTACTCTCCATACCCCCTCCTCTTCCAGGGCTCCAATAACAGCCAGGCAAATCAGAAACGAACGAGGAAGAAATGTTGACATCATAAATATGGACTTGACAACAATTCTCGAATGGGGATCCAATAACTTGGTAAATTTCAATGCAAACAAAATACAAGGATGCCTTTTCTCTAGAAAAGTCGATCTCACTGTGCCCAACATAAGCTTGTCAGGAGTAACCATACCTTCGAAGACATCCATTTCGATGCTTGGTATTACTATCAGCAATAACCTCTCTTGGGAAAATCACGTGAGATTAATTGCTAAAAGTGCATCCCAAAAACTTGGTTTTCTGTTTCGAGCCAGGAGCAATTCAACTTCCAGTCAGCTGCTTATGATCTATAAGGCACAGATTCGACCCGTCCTGGAATACTTTTCCCATATTTGGAGTGCAGCACCCAAACATACCCTGAAACTGTTGGATTCTGTCCAAAGAAGGGAAATTCTTCTCGTGGGTGATGCCGCGCTCACGAACTCACTCACTTCTCTGGAACACCGTAGAAAAGTTGACGATCTGGCTCTATTTTTTAGATATTTTCATGGACGATGCTCTTCTGAAATATCAACAATTGTTCCTCCCTTGGCAGTCCCCACGAGATTAACCCGTCGAGTAAAGGCTTCGCACCCCTTCGTGGTCACTTTGGAGACCTGCAGAACCTCTTTCCAAAGACTCGTTCATCCAGCGAACAGCGAGGCTGTGGAACACATTGCCAAGGGAGGTGTTCCCTGAGGCATATAACCTCCAGAAATTTAAGAAGAATACTAATTCCTACCTTATTTCCCTTGGTTCTCACGATGTTCTCTGAATATTACAGGATATCCCTTTCTGTGGAAGCAGAACATAAAAAAATAGACAGTCAGGCTCCTCTTAAAGCACTGAGCTCCAGCAAGATGAATTCCAAGCTTGTATATAGCTGTATTGAATCCCTAGAATACCTGGGTGCTAATAACACAGTCACTTTGCTGTGGGTGCCTCTGGACATCAGGGGGTGGAGGGCAACGAGAAAGCCGACCCGACATCCTCGTCAAACAGGGAACCGAATATGTGTTCATAGAACCCGAAACATAATTTGGGGGCTCCGCAAGTACGACCAAAACAACTATCTGGGACTGGGCGGAGAGGAAAAGAATGAATTACCAGGATTAACCCATTCGAAGACGTTCCTGCCTGAACCAACGAATGAAAAGACCAGGCAGATCATATAATAGAGCAGGGGTAACCTGCGATTTCTGACAGGACTGCATACGGGACACTGTCGCCGTAGGATGGGTCTCAACCAACAAACGGACTGTCGAGTGTCGGTTCTGCTGTGTGATGGAAGACGAAACGACAGAACCCATACACATGCTCTTGCTTAGAGAGACTGAGGTTCGACATATCTATTTGCTTTACCAATTTAGAACCTATCGATTTTAGACAAATCTTACTTCATTCAACCATGGACTTTGTAAAAAGAAGTCGATTGTTCAGTGAATTGTAACATCAAAGGGTGAGCCACAATACATTCATCTGGGATCACAGTGGAGGGGTAGTATTCGCTCCACTCACATGGAACCTAACCTAACCCTTGAACAACCAAATTTGACGAGGACCATGTATATTCAAAACTGAAGGAAATAACAGAGGCGTTCAATAGTGATTTTTGTGGTGGACATTCATTGAAAAAAAAACATGACTGAAGTTTTCAATGTGACATTGTTTAATCTCTAGCGAATAATGTTCTATTATCAATTCGGCACTTGCTTCTGATTGATTTATCGATACTTTTCGAGGTGGGATTGATTACTTTCTTACCGTGATTATTCCTACTAAGAGAAGTATAACCGTCACGTATTGGGCTGTATAGGAAGTCAAAATGACAACACCGTCGCCAAGCAGAACTGGTTCGGCTACCTGTACGAATTCCCACATTCTTTCATACATGCATAATCCAAGGAGCAGCTGAAAATATTCAATTTCACTGTAGAAAATATTGATTAACAGGCGAGTGGAATATTTTTTTTTGATTCCTTAAATAGAATCATCACTCAAATACCTTTCAATTTATCGATCGATTTGATGGTGCCAAAATCATAATGCCACGATAATTTTTAAACGACTAGAAATTTACCGCGAGTGAACTGATAATTATATTAATTCACACTAGAGGACATTTGAACCGGTAAACGCTCTGGTAAATGTGACAACACGGCGCACCACGATTTGTGGGCGTGGTCTTGTCATTTGTCAGCATTCAGCACAATTTTGCCAAGTCTCCAACATTAACATGATATTTTGTTATGGAGTATAGGAAATATGTATTTGGACATGCTAGTCGCTCGAAATAGTCAAGAATTAACTGAAATATCATGGGTTCCTCCTATTATGTTTTATCCAACTACAGGACAACAATTTCGAACAACGCATAGACTCATTATTCACATAAAAAAAGCGGACAAACATTAATTCAGGTCCCTAACGACACAGTGGAGTGATTGAATGCCAATAATTCATTTTCCTACGAGCGTGCGCAAAGTAGTACTTTTCCGCACTGATTTGCGTGCGCAAAGTGATACATTTCCGCACTCAGTGCGGATATGGGTGTTATCCGCACGACGTGCAGATAAGTAAAACTTACCAAAAATCTCACTGGTATGGAACATTTATATTCATTTTAGTTTCTGTAGACAATTGTATGCACTATAAGAAGCCGTTATCCCTTTCACTTTTCAACCGTTCTTCCCGATATTTGTATTTCACCTCAATATAAATATTAGGAACATATGATTTAAATTTCTATCATTATATTTTATTGATATGTAATTGTTTGTTGTTTAGCTATTTCCATCAAGTTTAACTAAAAATTATTCAATAAATTGTAATTTAAGTTGAATTTTTTTTATTTTCGTTATTTGATATGAAGCTCGTAGGGAAAATGTGATTTTCTATTATTATATTTTATTGTTATATGTGATCGTTGTATAGTTACATTTTTCAATAAGTTATATATTTTTTTTATTTTCCTTTTCATCACAGGAATGGTTTCGACAAAATTTTAATTTTAGTGATTCAGAGCATAATTAATAATAAAACGATTAACAGATATTTCATAAAAATTGTTCAAAATGTTCACCATTTTCACGTATACAAAGATTTATACGACGCAAAAAGTTGAAATGTACTCTTTGCATAACTTCTTCATCGCCTGTAAGATTATCCGTCGCCTGTTGGATACGTTGCCATAATTGTTCTACAGTATTCACAGGGGTCTTGTAAACCGTAGACTTGAGATAACCCCATACAAAATAATCCATCGGTGTTAAGTCTGGAGAACGTGGTGGCCAATTCACGGGTGCATCATTACCTCTACCTATCCATCTGTCTGGGTACTGTTGGTTTAAAAAATTCCTAACATCCACCGAAAAATGTGGTGGAGCTCCATCGTGCATAAACCACATATCTACCCGATGTTGGAGTGGTAAATCTTCCTGTTAATCTTTGTGGAAGTATGACAGGACCAATTATAAAATTTCCTATTATTCCAGCCCAAACGTTGATTTTGAATTCGTGTTGAAAATGGTTTATTTTAATGGAATGAGGATTTTCAATTGCATAAACGTGTTCATTATGAAAATTAGTTCCTCTTCTCGTGAAACAGGCTTCATCAGTGAACAAAATATTCTTTCCAAAGTTCAGATTCATTTCTCTTTGCAAATTAATGAACCTACAAAACATCAGACGACTTTGTGAATCATGGATTAATAAATCTTGAACTGGCGTCTTGTGGTATGGGTATAATAATTGTTCTCTTAGTACTTCATGAACGGCATTCCTAGAAACTTCTAGTTCATTACTTATCCGTCTAGTACTCAATTCTGGATTTTCTTCAATACGGTCTAAAATTTCTACTTCGACTTCGGGAATCCTTACATAACGCTGTCTTCCATAATCACCAGTTCTAGGAGCAAAATGACCGGTCTCCCGAAGACGTCTCTCAACTGCAGCAAAGGTTGGGTGTCTTGGTACGCGACGATTTGGAAACCTTGCCGAATACACCCTCACACTCTCTCGACCATTTCCTTGACAATATCCGAATACCAATAACATATCGGTGTATTCTTCATTGGTGTATTGTACGGCCATGATAAATCAGAAAAGTCCGATATCAACAATCAACGTCAATAAAACTCGACAAATCAACACAGATGAAACTATGGAAACCAAGAATGTGAATATCACTGTTTTCGAGCAGATAATAATAGTCTTCAGAAAAAAAAACCAGTGCTACTTATTTTCAATAGAAATAACCTATGCAAAAAGTACATCTCAACTTTTTGCGTTGTATAAATCTTTGTATACGTGAAAATGGTGAACATTTTGAACAATTTTTATGAAATATCTGTTAATCGTTTTATTATTGATTATGCTCTTAATCACTGAAATTAAAATTTTGTCTAAACCATTCGACCATTTGTCAAGAGTACCTTTTTTGTAGTGAATGAGTTGAACAGTCTAGATTTCATATTGAAACTAACTTTTTCCATTGGCGTAGGAGTTTTAGATGTTTATTTACTGAAAAAAGCAAGTTCTACGCCCATGGAATGATATTCATTATGATTAGGATTTCAACTTTTTGCGTCGTATAAATCTTTGTTCACGCGAAAATAGTGAACATTTTGGAAAACTTTCATGCAATATCTATCAATCGTTTTATTATTTAAATATGCGCGAAATCACTAAAACTTAAATATTGTCGAAACCATCAGAGTAATCGAATTTTATCAAGAGTACCTTTTTTGTAGTGAATGATTTGGGCTATCTAGATGTCATACTGAAACTGATTTTTTTTCATTGGCGTAGAAGTTTTAGATGTTTATTTCCTGAAAAAATCAAGTTCTACGCCCATGGAATGATATTCATTATGATTATGATATGAGTTTCATTGCCCGATGAGTCTATGCCAACGTACCAAATTTGAAAAAAATCTCATGAGCCGTTTAAAAGTTATGAAGCAAAATCGATTTGAAAATTTCAACTTCAGAGCCGTCTAGCGCCCAAACTAAGCAACTTTTTACTGAGGTAAGTTTGCTTGTATCGAATTGTTTTGGTCTGAAGAATATGTGGTAGCTTTTTGTAAAGACCTTTTAAGGACACCCTGTAAATACACCTTAGGGAAGCCTTCAAGATTCAAATACTTGCTTGATCTGTATTTCATTGGTTATTCTCGGGATGGATAACTTGTTTTTGGATAATCACGGCAAGCAATAGTTTTTTGTCTCAAACAACGATATTGTTAACCTTCATTTGATTATCAAGCGACAAACATTGTATTATGGAGAGGAAAAAATAATTGCTGTTCTTATTGTTGATGTGCTCACTAACCTAACATTTTCTAAGTCTTGTTTCTATAGCTGGCACTGACGCGGTATTTGCCATTAGAGCACCTGGTCCATACACAAATATGTCACTCTGTGATTGTATTTATATTGAAACTACAATAATAATCCGAACATCCTTGAAAATTGAATGAACCTGCTGTTGATGCTGGTAGAATGTTCTCACCACACGGATTATTTTTTGATATTTGTTGCATTTCATACATATGGCACGGTATTGGTGGTAACTTCACATATTTATTTGAGTTATTTGTTTCGGTTGCAGAAAAAATAGCATGTTTCATTCGGATCAAAAGTGACTTTGTTCGACTCGCAAATTTTGCTTTCGCTCGGCTTCGCTAAACGCTCCGCCTCGCAAATGCAAAATTCGCTTGTCAAACAAAGTGTCACTTTTGATCCTAATAAAACAATCTACTATTTTTACTACCTTGGTGTATGAATAACTATTTTCATTCAAATCAAAAAAACAATATGAAAAATACAAGAATTTCATATACCTTGGTGCTCGTGCACTAGAACTATTGAAACAATCGTTTCAAGAGCTTTCCAGAAATATCTCATTCAATATGATTATCTCCTTCCTTTCTCAATTCATCAAAACAAAACAGAGTACAATCGATTTTTGGACGATTTTCAAATCCAGATAGGTAAATATATTCGCTTTATCGCTACCTATGACATTTAATACTAATTAGTTTCGAAAAACCATATTTTATGACATCTACAAAAGATAAATATTTTGATAGTGGTATTTTCGGAAAGCTGTTCAAAACGCCTATCCATATCCAATGCCGAGGAAATGTATAGGTTGTTCAATTCAAAATTCATGTACACTCTGCTGTACCTGTACCCTGTATATTATTTCAGGTAGTCAAAATGTATCTGTTGAGTCGAGAAGAATAAATCTCCTGTGAGGCTGTTATTAATTTTCTCTACTGTCGAAAATGAGTTACTTTATAACCGGTACAATCATTTAGTTTTGCTTTATACCCATTATAGCAATGGTATAACGGTAGTCCACGATTGATAAGCTGAACGTTTTCTTACCAAATGTGAAATTCCGATTGCTGTTGGAAACAATCGTACGGAAATTGTGATTTTCATTTTGGTGTCACTATTTTCACGTTTCAAGTTGTTAGAGACCTAGCAATAAGTACCTTACATGATACTTATGTTTGGCATGATGAGGACTGTCTACATGTGGCTTCAGAGTATGGACAAATACGAATAACTGGTAAATCAGTTTTCCCAGCATTTTCGCTGGAATATCAAAGGTGTGTGTTTGGATATCAGAAGCATGGGCGTACCGTGGAATTAGTATTAGGAAGGGGTCACTTCAACACTAATCTCGTCGCACCCCAAAATTTTGCCTCTGTTGAAATATGAATAACTTTTGTCGGCCTAGAACGATTTGAATTCGAATCACACTGTTCTCTATCCCAGCCGTTCAGCTATAATCTCGTAATTCTTTGGAACATAAGGTTCTTCACATTAAACCGCTACAGGGTGTTACCTAAAACTGTGCAAAATTTCGGAAATTTCAAAAGTATCCCAAATGAAGAAAAACTTTTTTTTGGAATTTTGACATTAGAGATAATAAGATGATCTCATTATCTTGGGACAGATCTCGAATTGTCCCCTTATCTCTTTTATTTACAGAGGGATCTCAAAAAATTAACGTTTTGCAGTCATAACTATTTTCCTCGTCAACCGATTTTTGAAATCTCAAGCTCATTTTGAAGCTTAAACTTCAGATGAAGAAATATATGAATCATTTATTTAGTCCATTTGGCTAATTTACATTTTCACGTCATTGCAATGAGAATGTTATATGTGTAAACATATTTACATACCTATATACAATACATAAACTACTATACTCATTTGCACACTATATATCTTTACGTCCTTACACATTCTAATACATATTTAATGAACACACAAAAAACACTGCACATACTGAAACATTTGTAAACCTATCATACTTCATACCAAATCGAAACAAACAAAATGAGGAAGTGACCGCTAGGTATTTCATTGATGAAGAAAATATGATTTTAACTGTGCCTTGAAGGATGTTAATGATGTTAAACGTTTGATCTCTTCTGGCAGATTATTATAGCTATCAAGTACCTTGGAAAAAACTGAATTTTGGGAATGTGATGATGTTATACTTGTTGAATATGGAAGTCAGTTCTGAATCTTGTATTGTATCCGTGGATTTGGTCATTGTACATAACTTTTTCTTGCACTTGTCTCACTTCTAGTGGAAGCACACCTGTATCTTTCGTAATTGTTGAGTTAGGATTCTGAAATTCGCAAGAGCGGTAGATTTACTGAAATTACACACTATGGCCAAGTGGAGTAGTCTCCAGTGATATACACTGCTCGCCAACAGCCATGGAACCACCCACAAAATTGATATAAGGAGGCAAGATAGGTAGATAGATTCGAAATCAGGACGTCCCTTTCGCTTCCTCCTGCAAATTTCAGAACCCTACCTCAATAATTACGTAAGATACGGGGGTGCTTCCATGAGAAGTGAGACAATGTAATTTTTCTGAACTGAAAATTTTCCAGGGAAAATATGTATAGTGGACGTCCTGATTTCGAATCCAAAGTGATTTTCAACCTATCTTGGCTCCTAATAACATTCTCCAGAAATTTGGGTGCTTCCATGGCTGTTGACGAGCAGTGTATTGGCAAATATTACTGAATGACTAGAAGATATTTCACTTACAGGGATCCGTTTGTCGGTACGCTCGAACATTGCGTTTTTTGCTTTTCCCATAAATCATCGGGTCAACAAACGGTAGCGGCATGTAGGGGTGCGCTTGACGGTTATACGGGACGATTCCAATTCTAGCGCTCTTACAGGGGACGTTCAGTAACGTTCACTCAGAAATCCAAAATTAGAATGATAGTGGTTTCTGATATTTTAGAAATTCTCAATATATATCAATCGAATAATAGTTTCTTATGATTCACTCTCAAATAATACACATTCGTTCTGACAAACGTAATTTATTAACAAACATTTACAGACATCAACATTAGGTTGATTGATATGATATTCATGGAATATAATTATAATATTCGGAGATAGTTTCTAGAGATTATTCAATATATTTAATTCAACATTAAATGTTTTGCTCCTTTTAACAATCTTCATATCTTGATTCAAAAATTTGAAGGTAAAGTATATGCGAACTCTTGTATACAAAGATATATAATGATTGTATGGAAATTCTTGACATGGATGTGAAAATGGAACTTTTGAGTATTGTTGTTTCAAATACTGACCAATTCCTTTGTCACCTCCGATTTTGTTGAAGTGTTCAATGAATATGTTCTCCATGTATATGACATGGTCAACAATATCTTTTGAAGGTACTGTTAAACCACCAAATGATGATTTTTCGGTAATATATGCCTTCAGTTTGCAGAAAAGTACTTCTCCATCTACTAAATTCTCTGAAGATTTGCTGAAATTTACACAAACCTCACATGAATTAGACATTTCCTTCGGGACTTTTGAGATTATCTACAGAGTGACCCATTTGAAAGCGGGCCACCCCTGTATCTCACGTAATCGTTGGGTAAGGATCATGAAATTTGCTGGAGCGAGAGATATACCAAAAATGCACTCTATAACCAAGTGGGGTCATCTTCAGTGATATACACTGCTCGCCAACAGCCATGGAACCACCCCAATTTCCTGAAAATGATATTAGGAGTCAAAATAGGTTGAAAATCACTTCGGATTCGGAATCAGGACGCCCAATTCACTAACTATTCATATTTTTCCTTGAAAATTTTCAGTTCTAAAACATTACATTTTGTCGCACTTTTCATGGAAGCGCAACCCCGTATCTCACGTAATTATTGTGGTAGGGTTCTAAAATTTGCAGGAGGAACGGAAAGTCCAAAGATGAAGTCAATTACGTGAGATACGGGGGTGCTTCCGTGAAAAGTGCGAAAAAATTTAATTTTTCAGAACTGAAAATTTTCAAGGAAAAATATGAAGAGTTAGTAAATTGGGCGTCCTGATTCCGAATCCGAAGTGATTTTCAACCTATTTTGACTCCTAATATCATTTTCCGGAAATTGGGGTGGTTCCATGGCTATTGGCGAGCAGTGTATATCACTGAAGATGACCCCACTTGGTCATTGAGTGCATTTTTGGTATATCTCTCGCTCCAGCAAATTTCATGAGCCTTACCCAACGATTACGTGAGATACAGGGGTGGCCCGCTTTCAAATGGGTCACTCTGTAGATTATCTTCTGTAGTCTATGGTATTGGAAATGAGATAGATTATCTTCTGTAGTCTATGGTCATAGTGTTTATTTTCAGTATATCTCTCGCTCCTGTAATCACCATTTATATCGAGAATCAGTCGGGAGAAATCCATGAAAATATGCATGCTCATATTTTAGAATACGCTCTCTTCATTTAGAATATTTTCAGCAATGCAATGTTGCCGCTTCTATCAGAAAGTAGCAACAATTTTGTTATTTCAAATAGTATTCTCTGTATTTTATTGCATTTTTCGATTCTCCCTAAAGAGCTGATTTCATCGATACATCAGACTTAGGGTCTATAAGAAATGATTACAGAGATATAGGGTGTGAAAAATCGAGATTTTTCAACTTCAGGATTTGTTTGTGTCGTAATTATTCATTATCGGCCAAAACGGCTCACATGTCCCTTTCTCAACTTTTGATTTACTATTTACTGGTATTTAATTGGAACAGATACAGGGTGATCAGAATTCTGAATCTTGAACCACCCTGTATCTGTTCCGATTAAATATCAATGAATAGTGAATCAAAAATTGAGATAGGGACATGTGAGCCGTTTTGACCTATAATAAATAGTTTCGATACAAAAAAACCTCAAGTTGAAAAATCTCGATTTTGAACACCCTATATCTCTGTAATCATTTTCGATAGACCCCAAATGCGATGAAATACAGGGTGTTCCATTTGAAATATCAATGTTATTACTATTTTCTAGTAGACGCGGATACACTGCATTGTCTAAAATATTTTAAAAGGAAAGAACATAATAATATTCTGAAATATCAGCATGCACATTTTCATGGATTTCTCCCGACTGATTCTCGATATAAAGATAGTGTAAGCTCGTCGTGACATACCTTGTATAATCAATACTTTTTCGATGGAAACGACCTCTATCTTTTTCCACAGTTATACTTTATTGAGGCATATTTGGTCCTATTGCCATATTTTCGTCCAAATATCAATATGTCCCAATAGTTTTGACTCACCTCGTATAGGACGTACTTTTTTTGGACACCGTGTATATGACCATATGGCTACAATGGCTGGAGATTATGATATATCACCAATCCTACGACTGGTATTGCTGGCAATTTACCAATAATTGATCCAAAAATTTCTCCTATTTGTTTATTAATAAAATACGTGAGTCAGTGCAACCATTTGTAGTGATAATAAATCGAGTAAATGCAAAACATTTAAACATTCCAATAAAATAATGCCGGTTGCTTCGAGCTGTTTATTTTCACTATTAAATTACCAACTCAAACAAATATCCCGAGTCAATGTTTGCATTTAATCACGATGTAATGTTAGCTCACAGTGGGGTAATGCATCACTGATTATTCTCACTAGGTCCTTATTTTGAGCAGGCAGGGACTTCAACTGGCGTGCTGGAAACCTACAATAATTGAATTTTTTATATATTTTTTGTTATCTCTTGGAGCGCACGAAAGGAAATTCCTATAATGTTCGTGGAACACATTGTGCGTATCTAGGTAGGATAGGGAGAGGAAGTGGGTACATGTTGAACTTTTGGAGGTTATAAGTTCTTGGGAATACTTACATTGGCAGAGAATTCCAGAGCTTTGCCGTTCTAAAGATCACGTGCACGATGACCGACCCTGGCGGTAAAATATTGAAACACAACCTCACTCTTCTGTGAAACATTGAAACACAACCTCACTTTTCATTTGTTTACAGCGGAATCAAAGGATTCGAATAGTTTTTCACAATATTTTGGCATACGAATCGTGTTTTTTGCGCTATTCATCAATTCAAGCATGCCTTCTCGGATTGTGCTGTTGTACAAAGCACAAAAAATGCAGCGAGAGACGAAGGACTATGATTTTCCAGGTAAATATAGTTATCTCACATAGTTTTCATTATGAAATTTTGTCATTTCCTATTGAAATTCCTTCTGCCACTTCTGCAGTGTAGGAACTAATACTGCTAAAAGATTGAAAGTGTCTACAACAAACACGATCTATCTTATTTCGTCAGATCGGTCCTCCCGTTTGATTGCATGAATCCAATCTTCTTGTATTATCAAAGGAAAAAACACAAACACTAAGTCGGTCGACCACAAAGTTTAATCAAAAAAGTTTTGTGACTAGTTTCGGCTCAAGCAGCCATCTTCAGACACAATATATAGTACCTGTAAAGATATTGGTTTACGAGAATAAAATGACATATTGAGGAAAAAACATACCTATAAAAAGACACGTGGAATCACATAATTGAATTAATTGAAATTTGAATAGCAGGGTCATTTGGCCAAAAATTCAATCCGGTGAAAAAATTGATACTTTTTTGAACCGACTGAACAGCCAAAAGAACCTGATGATAATAAGATTCAACATTGGCAAAAATTGGGAAAAAACCAGCAATAAATTCACTCAAAGGAGTTTCATCACAAAAGCCAAGGAGAAGTTAACGAAATGTCAAGCATAGCAACAGACGTTGGCAGAATTACAGGACGAATGACAGTGACATTTGATAAAAACTCAAATGACATGCACAATATAAGATTACAATTTTGAGTTATGATAATGTCGCATTATCTTTTATTATTTCAGAAATTTCACGAGTATTTCGATTAGTTCCTATATTGCAGAAGAAATTCCGATGAGAAATCAAAGAAATTACAAAATTTCGAAAATGAAAACTATATGAGTGACTATAATAGGTACTGACTTTCAAATCATAATGTACCAACCGGATTCCTTCGTCTCCCGCTGCATTTTTCGTGCATTGTACAACAGCACAATGCGAAGGCATGAGCGATTCAATGAATACCCGAAAAACACGATTCATATGCCAAAATAATTGTGAAAAACTATTTCAATCACTTGTGAACAAATAAGAAAAGTGTGGTTGTGTTTCAATGTTTCACCTCTAGGGTCGGTCATCTGACAGTTCTTGAACGCATCCCTCAGGCGAATTTGGTAGAGTGTTGTTCGACACATTTCAAGGTTAACGACGAGAGAATGTGCTGACTTGGCGTGTCGAGTTCGTCTGACTAGTATTGCTAGTGATAGAATTATAGCAGAGATTTATGAGGAACATTTCCCGTGATGGAAGTATCTGTAGAAAAGTAGGAAGGTCGCCAACTATTTTACGGTGTTCTAATGGGGTCAAAGAGTTCTAGTGAGTGTGGCATCACCCAGCAGGCGAATGGCTCTCCTCTGGATGGAATCGTAGAGTATCAGTGCTGAACCCCATACATGAGAATACTATTCTGAAACTGTCCGTTTCTGTGATTTTTTCATGTTCTGGTTCCCACAAGAAGGGATATCCTGTAATGTTCAGAGAACATCCTGATAAAGGTAGGAATTGGTGTTGTTCTTAAATTTTTGAAGGTTATTTGCCTCGGGGAACACCTCCCTTGGCAATGTGTTCCAGGGCCTCGCTGTTCGTTGGATGAACGAGTCTTTAGAAAGAGATGTTCTGCAGGTCTCCCAAGTGACCACGAAGGGGTGCGAAGCCTCAACTCGACGGGTTAATCTCGCGGGGACTGCGAAGATAGTAGTTAATCTGTCTCAAAATATCACTGTGTGTACTGGATCATACTCATAGAGTCTTTCAGGAGTACGGCGAGATCAATTCATCAACACAGTTATATTCAGGGAATCAGGGATAGAACATCTTCTCAGTCTTTTCTAAAGATCATTCAGATGCTGCTCTTGATGATTCCAGAAAAAATAGATAGGTAAAACTGCATTTTTCATGCGATGTTTTTTTTTTCGAAAATTTCTTTTGGTATTTACGTATTTTTGTCTGGAAAACACGAATTTAATAATGAGAATGTGAACAAACCACTATTTATCGAGATATTTCAAGAAATAGTTCGAAATTTCGCCTTCTTTTTCTCCTTGTGTTGGATGCATTTACAGCTACTTGCTCTTCTTATTTTGTCATTGGACACTTTGTATACTCATGATGTACTTCAATGACACATTTTTATATAGAAAATTCAACAGGAAATATCATTTTCATGGGAGTTTTTCATATTTAGTGAACAAGCATACCAGATGACGGCCATTTAATCAATAGTCAATCCAATTACGAGATGTCAAATGTCAATAGATTGCTTTTGAATGACATTACTCACGCCATCATTTCAAATTGTATTCTTCCTTCTTTTCACTGAATTTGAATAAATCACAAGAAAGTCATATCTCTATAGTTAACTCATATAATAAAAAAATGTGTCGTTCATTGTGATATATATAAATTGTCCAATGATGAGGAAAGAAGGGCAAATTGTTCTAAATGCAATCCAGAAGATAGACGGAAAAAAGGTGAAATTTGTAACTTTGTAGAAAATATCTCAATAAATAATGGTTTGTTTACATTTTCATCATCAAATTCGTATTTCTGTGAGAAAAATTCGTAAATACTAACAAAATTATCGAAAAAACAACCATCACATGATCAATGCAGTTTTACCTTACGTACACGTTATGTAGTAACATTGATTTTATGTAATACCTGATATATTCATATAATATTTACCAATAACATTACATTCTAATATTCAGAAGAGGCACAAAGTTCCATTGCCGCAACGTATCTGTGACATTGAGCATCTCTCTGAATAACATCACAAAGTAACAATGTAATATAACATGTATATTCAAGTTATGTTTTAATGTTTAGTGGGGGGGCGACTATACCCGTTTCAACCCCGTTGACGGTATGTATCGTATGGACAATACAGTATCGTTATTTAGATCGACAATGGGAGGACATGATTCGTTGTAAACAAAAAATAGCTATAGCTATCGAGTGACCTCGTGTTATCGATTTGAATTCACGGTGTTTATTTTCATTTTATTTTTATTTTTCATTTTCACAAACAGGAATACAAACAGGACGAACCCAGAGACAGTATTCATTCATTTTTGAATCAAAAATAATTCCCAAATCCTTCACTTTACTACATATGTGGAGATAATGATCCTGCATGGTATACATACATAGTTATGAGTAATTTGATTAGAGTTTCTACTAAAATTCATCTGATGGCATTTGTTGAGATTCAGGAAGTGGGAGTTATTTCTGCTGTACTCTGAGAAGCGATCAAGGTCCTCTTGAATGAGCAAACAATCATTCAAGTGTGAAACTGTATGAAATATTTTAAGATCATCAGCATTCATAAGGAAATACGAGAATTTGAAACATTCAGAGATGTCATTCATATAAATATTGAAAAGTAGGGGACCTAGATGTGAGCCTTGAGGAACACCCGACGTTATATTGACTGATCTTGAAAGATAATTACCAATACAAACTGTCTGATTAAGATTACATCAGCCAGCTTTTATACCAGCAATGTGTGATCGATCTTATCAAAAGCTTTGCTGAAGTCGGTGTAAACGGCATCTACTTGAATTCGGCTGTTCGAGCTTTTTAATATATATTCAGTATATTCGAATAAATTTGTTTCAACAAAGCGCATTCTGACAAATCCGTGTTGTTGTATATATCAAAAATAATGCTTTCGAATACTTTTGCTAATATACATAATTTGGACACTGGTCTGTAATTCTGAGGTAATTTTTTTGGGCCAGATTTATGAATTGAAACAACGAATGCTTTTTTCCAGGCGTTTGGAAAATGCCTTTTATCTAAGGATTTATTGAACAGGAGATAGAGAGGAAATGAAAAACTCTCTGCACACATTTTGATGAAATTGGCGGTTTATTTCCCGCTTATCTGAACCCAACCTTGATACGCCTATGTGTAGGCTATCGATTTATCGACAGATCTCCACGTCTGAATATACGGATGAAACGATAACGCTACTTATCAGTATCAAATGAACAGAACAATCGAAAATGTTGGATTTGCATAACCTAACGCGAAAATATGAAGTGCGATGACGACATCATCAAGTGTGTGGTGTTTTGGACCAATTTATGTCTTGCCGTAAGTATACCTGCTAAGATATCTATCTAATACTTATTACTTTTCAAGTATTCTGTTTTCACTATAGCTTATACAACATTAATACGTTGCTGTAACACCACGAAAGTGCTCTATATGGTCGTCTTTCGAGTAGATTGTTTGATTTGCTTTGGAGCATGAGTCCGAGTGGTATTTACGAAGATTATATCACACTGTATACATACAGGGTGAAATAATCTTTAATGCGGATGGCTCTATTATTCCATTGTGAAAATATTCATTTAAATTAATTCGGGAAAGCCGTTTTGTAAAGTTCAAAAAGTGGCAATGAGAAACTGTCTTTCCTTTTCCCATTTCTCTTTGGATGATCTCAGGAAAAAATTAAAACGAAATGGACAAATTTTGGTTTTTTATATCATATCTCCTGAACTACTCGGGATTTTGAAACTTTCTTCTTTTCTTTTTTCTCTTGTTCAACCATCTTCGTATCTCGTATGGTTTCTGAGATACCCGTGATAGACATCTTCATCTTGGTGAAGATCTGTACTAGCTGCATACACGTAACTGATCAATAAAATGAAGAGATTTTGTATTGCGATTTTATAATAAATTTTACTCGAAATACAAAAATACAAAATGTCTTCATTTTTTTTATGCTCTCTTTTTGGAGGGAGAACGTGAATTCTCTACTTCAGAAGATTTTGTTTTCAAATTCTTATATTGTGGGTTCAATAGATGTAATTCAATAATGTTCGTCGTGGCATATGCCAGGAAAGTAGTTGTTTTCTAGTGAATGAACCGAGAAAGAATTAATATTTTCATCACATGGAGAATGCGAATTCTCAATGTATTTCTTTATATGAATATCCATTTTTTTTGTGTTCATGAATATCAAGTTTTCAACATTTACGAAAAAATTCAAAATCGAATTCGATGAAAAATATTCTTGCTTTTGGGTGTATGATAAATTGACATTCATCATACAGGGCGTGGAAAGAAATTCTGAATTGAGACTCAATCACGAATCTGCGATTAGAGGTCTATAAAAATCACAAGTTTCCATCGTTCAAGTTTGAACCCCCTGATTGGGTATGAAAGTGTTGAAAAGGAATATTCTCAGATGTATTATGGACATACAAAAATGGATATATATTTATATGAAGCAATATATTGAGAATTCGCATTCTCTATGTGATGAGAATATCTACTCTTTTTCAGTTTATTCAATAGAAAACAACTACTTTCCTGGCTATATGCCACGTCGAACATTGAATTATATCTGATGAACATTCAAAAGGATTTTATTTTTTATTTTTCATGTTCTCCTTTTGAATGTTCATCAGATATAATTCACTGTTCGACGTGGCAAATAGCCAGGAAAGTAGTTCTTTTCTGTTCAATATTCAGAATGATGTGTGCATATTCATATTTTTTTCTGAAGGAGAATTCAAATTCTCAATTTCAGAAGTTTTTATATTTTATTTTCAAACTCTTATCGTGTGTTTTCAATAGATATAATTCAATGTTCGTCGTGGCATATAGCCAGGAAAGTAGTTGTTTTCTATTGAATAAACTGAAAAAGAGTAGATATTCTCATCACATAGAGAATGCGAATTCTCAATAATCTCAATATATTGCTTCATATAAATATATATCCATTTTTGTATGTCCATAATACATCTGAGAATATTCTTTTTCAACAAAAATATTCTTGTTTTTATTATTCATTTTCTGGAGTAGATGCGATAATTTGAAACTTTCACATTGAAGAGGTCATGGATATGATAATGAGGAACATTATTTAGAAAATGATGATAAAGTAGGCGATGATATATGTGTGAAATGGAAGTATACAGGTCGCCCGTTTTTTGAGCTTCACCATGGGGATCTCAGTTATTATTATACGAGATACGAGGTCGGTTAAGTTACGGCAAAGTGGCGTATTTTCATGCTGAACATTTATACCTGCAAGAAAATCCGTTGTCATTTTTAGTTTTCAAATTATTCGAAGAAAAATAAAATTTGTAATTTTCGTTTTTATTTTTTCAAGCGAGAACCAAAATACCTAGACGTTTATGACTAGGACATTCTTAAGGCTCTTTTTCACAAGGAATCTGAATATGTCATCGTATTTTCCATGACGTTCTTGATGCCCAAGTTACAACACTCAAAGGACCCCGCACCGCTCTTATGGTTTTTTGGGTCCTTGTCAAATCGGCTGGAATTATAGTATATGTTGTAGTTTGTGATATCCTGATCAAAAGCTCTCCTGGGCCCAACTCAATCCTATGACTAGTTTTCGAGCAACAGCGATTCAAATGTTGGATTGTGTGCCTTTATGGTTGGTAGAATTTGTGCCCTATGAGCTCCAAAACGACTTGTTGATAGAATTTCAACCATGATAATAAGTTTGTTTGAAGAATAATTCGATCAACTGAAATATTTGTGCGTCACTTTTTTTGGAACTGAGTGTACATTGTCTATCTCTTTCTTTCCTGAGTTCATTGAAATAATTTGAAGAATATTTTTGAATTTTGGGTCACAATAATTAGTATAGATATACGTTACGGTTATTAGGGAACTAACGAGGTCATTATCATTCTTAAATATATAAAGTCTACTCATGAGAACATATTTCAAATGACGATGTTTTGTTCTGATTACATATACATATAGGTATAACCATATCGTTTACATTATATTAAAACAATTATGTCATTTTAAAACAATAAACAACACTGAATAACAATTAAGTTCATCCATATCAGTAATCGTTCAGAAGGATTAATTGATTGAATCTGATGAGAATAACAATGAATAATTATTATGTTAGTACAATATTGTAAATAGGGGCTTCAAAATCTCACTTTTTTATACTTATGAATAAAAATATTATAATATAAATTGATAAAACAAGTTTTGTATTGGCATGGATATGTAGATGACATGCATTATAATATGCTTTAATGGAACCAATATAGACACTTTTCAACAATTATTATATTCATCCAAACATAAAATTCACAATGAAAATAGAGACAGAAGAGTCAATCAACTCCTCAGATTTGACAATGAGTATATACAATCAATGATAAACATGAATTATCAATTTTCCATAAATCACTATTCATAATAATTCAACACAACCTTATCAACATAAAATTGCAGCATACACCTAATAGTATGATGCACAGGTTAGTGCCGTCCCAGGGACGTCCTTCATTTTCTACGAGGACGTCCTTGGGATATCCTGTGTCGAGACATGGTACATACTAGGGACGTCCCAGGGACATCCGCTTTCCACAAAAAGAGGCATCCTAGGGATGTCCTTCTGGTACGTCCCTGGGATGTACCAAGTACGAAGAAGGGATATCCCTAGGACGTCCTAAGGATATCCCAGGGACATCCCAGGGACATCCCTTCGGCAAGAGAAAAAAATTTTGGTCCAGTATATACGGATTGAACCCGGGACCTTTGGCTTATCAGGCACGCATCTTACTCCATTGGCTATTGAGCCTCCTGAAGATTTATGTACTGAACAGATTTATAAACAGGACTTAACTACAGAAACCTGAATAAATACAACTTCGTTACGATTTGGGTATAATTATTATATCATTCTTGGGTGTTTGAAAATTATGGGCATTATGCATGTACGATTTCTGTTTGCGAAAAATGGTAATTTCTTAAGAAGTTCTGTAACTTTATTCCCCATTTTCACTGCGATTATTTTCCGGAGAAAAACAAACATTTTCAAAAAAATGCAACTCAATACTTTGATGAAATTCAATGACTCTGATGTGGATGGATATCAGATATTCCAGGGACACGAATAGGATAACCTAGGGATGTACCGGGCGGGATGTCCACTGGACAACCACTGCGCGACATCCCCTGGATGCCCCAATCATGTCCTTGTACCGCGGGACAAAAAAGGGACGTACCTAGGACATCCCTGTGTTGTTAGGGTCTTTCCTTGTCTAACATCTACTTTGTGCCGCTGAACTATTTTTCAATTCAACAGAGTGTTAAATTTAACGATATTAACAAAGTATGTCAAATTAAGTTCGATATAAATCAAAATTTCATTTTGAAAATTCGAAATGTCATCAGTCATTCATTCATGACATAGACATATCGAAAATAGTTCAGTGGCACAGACTAGAGGTAAAGGGAAAGATTCATCGGACCTCTCTATGTTTTAATGCGGCCACGTTGGTAGCATTGCAGAGATAGAGATGGAAGAGGAGAGAACTTTTCTCTTTCTCTCGTTCTAGATAGAAAAGAGCTCAATTGAGATAAAGTATGAAATTCAGATTTTGTAAGATCTCTTTCAACGCCTATGAATGTGACGTGACAGCAATGTCATGTCAGGGACGCCAATACAAGAAACCAAAGTCACTAAATGATTAATAGAGCAAGGAGCTATGATCTGTCCGTGCCCTGTTAGATGAAAAATACGTCAGTTTGCATCAAGGGACCCTAATCCAGCCTAACAAGCAAGGTCATTCTGCTTCCGTAGCAGAGACCATGAGCTAATATATTTCTTATTGCCGATGTATTCTAGGAGATTCACCGCTGTTCAGACGGAATAATAAAGAGTTGAAGTAATCACTGTACGTAGAGCTCCGCACGTAGACGTTAACGTACGAAAAATAACGTTTACATATTGTCTTTTAATTGAGTTGAAGTCGTCATTTGGTCGTCAATGTCATCGTAACGTAATAATCAGTAATGATACACTTTGTTTTCGGTTTGTATTGGTAATTTTTGGTTGTTTGTTGAGATTTGAAGATGTATTCCTGTTGAAATGAAAAGACTGCTTGATGCAAAACACCTTGGGTATCCCGAATTTGATCATTTTGACTTATCGGCAAGATTTGAGTATAGTTTGGTTAACGTAACGTGAAACTACGTGAGATAACGTACACCCGTAAGCGCACTATCAACGCAAACGTGAAGAATTGGAAAATGCGCATGCGTAGCTGGCATTTTCTACGCTTACGTTAACGTTCATGGCAACACTTCAACTCTCTAATAGTATCAGTTAAAATACCCCTTGCCTGTGGAAAGCACTACATGGTGTATAAGTGGTACCAGGCAGCGAATGTGTTGAACATAATAATAATATTCATTATATAATTATTTCTATAATTGAACGAATATTTATAATCTGTGTAATTCTTTTTCAGTTAGTTGGCATTTCCTTACTCTCCATCGGAATAATCTACAAAATTACCCTGGAAGAACTCAGTATAGCTATACCGATCGAATACCAAGGCATTGTGTTCATACCAGTACCAACTTTACCTCTCGGTACTGTCCTCATCGTGATTGCTGTTCTTGGCTGTTACGGCTGCCTTACCGAGAAAATCAACTTCATAGCACTGGTGATTATACAGGGTGTCCCAATTCAAGGCATTCCCAACTGCCTGATAAACTAGCTCAAACGTGCTGGCTCTCTCATTTGAGGCAGTTTTTCTTTCTCTATACGTATACGAAATTGGTCAACAATTAAATACAAGGGTGCGGTGCTGTTCGAAGTGAGACACACTGTTGCAAATGCTTGTGAAAATATAGTTGGAACACCCTGTAGACTTATATATGAACACGATTCCCACATTGAAGAAAGCATTTCACTAAAGTATTTTTTTTTTCAGTATACAGTCGTGCTTTTTGTGATATTCGTTCTGTTACTAACAGCTGGAATTCGTTCATTTTTTCAACTGAAAGATGAGAAAATATTCCAGGAAAAACTGAATCTCACTCTGAACTCACTGTTCAGAAACTATCATATCAGCTATGATAACAAGGAGGTAGTAGATCTTATACAACACAGGGTATGTATATTACGAAAATGTCAGATGCGAAATCACCAAATCATCAAACCACCATAACAAAACATGCTTCATGACCAATTTGTTCATATCTTTCATTGTTTTAGTTGAAATGCTGTGGATTTAATGGCATAACTGATTGGAATTTTGTGCCTAAAAGTTGTTTCGTAACTGATTCCACAGAGGTTTTCAAGAATCCATGCCCTCACCAAGTTTTTTATTACCTCAAAGATTGCATGTTTGTGATTGGTACTTCTGTGATAGCATTGTCAGTGACACTAGTAAGTACACCAGTCAGTATAACAGAGTATCCCAGATAGCACAAGTACATCTTATGGATATATTATGGATATCCATCATGGATATTGTGGGTGTCCATAAGATATCCGAAAAAGGCTTTGGTATATCCTATGGACGTCCATAGGATGTGACAGTGTGACCTTTTTGGATGTCTTAAAGATATTCATCATGGATATCCATAAGATATCACCTATGGATATGGATAAGAGATAGTATTCCCTATATGAAGAAAAAATCAAAAAAATTGGGGAGCACTCACGTCTCACTGCGTTCGAATAATGTAGTTGTCAGTTCTTATGCATCATCAATTTTAGACGAATTCGTAGGAATCAGTTCCAAATTCACTTCAAATTCATCAAATATGAGAACAGATTGACATTATTCATAATCCATAAATAATCATCAGTTCTACCAATCTTTGACTATTTGAGACGTTACGCCACCTCGCGCTGTTTCTGAAAACAGAATTGATAATGATAGTAGATAGTGCATCACAATGTGTGTTATCTTTTGGAAGACTCACGCACAAGTGTTACTTTTGTGGATCCCCTTTTATTTATTTATCATTTCATTCATTGTATATACTTGATTTGAAATTTATAGGTATTGATCTTTTGTCTCTGTATCTTATGGATATTCTATGGACGTATTCATGACGTTTGTTTCGGATATCTCAAGTACATCCGCAATCGGATATCTTATGGATATACATTTTATGTCCACGGATATCCTGCTTTGAATAGGACTCGAAATGGATATCCATAAGATATCCTGTGTTAATTGGGATACAGGGTGGTCTCAAAGTTGGGGCATTCTTTTAAGGGATGTAGAACTCATCAAAATAGGCGAAATCACCGAAAATTGCCCAAATAAAGGTTCAGGTCCAGGAATACTAATTTCCTAATATTTGTTTCTTCAAAAACTCTGTGTCACGACACCATTGCACCAAATTGAGCAACATTCATGGTGTTGGATGAATTCTTACCGGAAATATTTCCGTGTACTGATGAAATGCTGCTGCTGCACTTTAATTAGCGACACTATGAATCAAATGCAGATAAACAAGTGAGGTACGTAGTTTTTGAAAGGTATCAGATTAGTATTAAGGTCAGATAATTTATACGACGTTATAAAAGCAGATGATATTTTATCATTGCTCATGTAAGATGGAAGTTGAGGCCATTGCATCATATCATGAGCATATTTATATATTGAAACTATCATTGGGCACCAATGATGTGTATATACGACGCTATGAAAGTTCAGAGAACTGGAGATTTTTCGTACAAACTACGTACTTATCCCGTACCTAGTTTATTGGCAAAAATAAAGACAGTAGAGTGAGCTAGGTACGTAGTTTATGAAAAAAAAAATCAGGACAGTCGAGTGTGCTTTTTTTACTTTCTTTTGTTTTTTGTTTCGTTTTCTATTGGCAAGTGATTATCTAGGAACTTGTAAATTTTTTAGTTTTTTCATCGTATCTCCCGAACTATTAAATTCAGAAAAAAATGTTAGGAGGATTTTTTGTGGATTTTATCAAAAGGAATAATTTTGGTTCTATAACATTTTCAGATATTTTCAGTTGTTTTCGAGATATTTGGAATTATCTGAGAATAAAATTTTCAACACTTTTGTTCCATCTTCCAATCAACAAAATGAAAAAATATTCCATGCCTCAGTGGAGGTAGATGAGCTTCATCTATCGATAATCTATGTTTTTCAATATATCTTCATAGTACCCTATGGGTCGTTAAAATTTTTTTTTTCATATTTTTCACTTTATTTCCTGTACTATTGGGTTTACAGAAAAAATTATGGAAAATGATTTGTAGGGAATGTTCCAGTGGATAACATTGCACTCTTGATAATTTTCGATTTTTCCATTTGTTTTCGATATATATTGAATTAAAAGGATTTCAAATTTTGATGTTTGGGTTTTCATTTGTTTTTCCAGTTTCCGATGGATGCACGAAAAAATGATTGAATGATAATTTGTTGCGTCATCAAAGAGGCATACGGTGCATTTTTCAAATTTGGATTTAGTCTATTGGTTCAGGAGATATGTCGTTTTAAAGCGAACCGTGTTTTTCGGATAATCTCCTTGAAAAACCCACTTGGAATTTTCCGACCCTGCTCAATTTCAATAGGCTTCGTCTCTTCCTGATAGAGGTTTTTTTCACGAAAAATGAAATCGATCGGACCACTTTTGCGATTTGTAGAGTGGTTACAAGGAACTTCCGGTGAAAAATCGAAAAAACCCGGAAAAACCACCTTAGAGTTTTCCGATTTCCTTCATATTTTAATGACATAATATTGTTTTGAGTACAATAAGATGGCAAAATTTCAAGTCGATATGTCAAAGGGTTCCGGAGATATATCGATTTATGATTAACACAGAGTACAGACAGACAGACAGACAGACCACACACAAAAACCAAAGTTGCTCAAAATTCGATGGGGATCATTTTCTCCAAAGCAACTATACCTCTATCTCGCTTAGTTTCCGAGATAGCATTTTTGGCACGGCCGTAGTATACTCCACTATGTATAGCGTCGTATAACAAGTGGGTACGTAGTTTTTAAAAGGTATCAGATTAGTATAGATGTAGTTTTCATAAGGTATTAGTTTATTTAGAGGTCAGATAATTTTGAAGCAGTAGTTAAACAATGCGGTTTGTAGGGAATTTTGGCAGTTGGCCCGCCTAATGGAAACCTATTACATTCATTATGACGTATAACGTTCAGTTCACTTAATAATTTTATTTAATTAAAAAAAGATAATCATACCGTATAGGATTTGAACTTTGGATCTCTGGGTTGGCAAGCCGACACGTTACCAAGTGGCTATGGGGGGTCCATTTTATCAACGTGCAAGTGTAGGTACGACTCAACTTGTCCCCCTGTTTTCGAGAGATATTTTTTGGAGGTCCATGAGTATGGATTTTCGACATATGGATGGGTATATGGATATTTGGGGGGTTCATTTTGCTTCATTGGGCCAATATGAGCAATTTAAATAAATATATCAGGCTTATGAATGAGTTTCAGTAAATATTTCTATGTTCTACATAGATTTGATTTTACGGTACTGCTAGTGTCCTCACTCGGATGTGAGTGGAAACTGTTTGCTATGCTTACCTTCTCCTATTACAGAGGTCTTTTTGAAGAATCCACTCGTATGTGTTACGCTTCAACCTAATTCCGCGAGGTGTCGCTACTGATACTGTTTTCCAAGGTTTGTAGAACTGATGATTATTCTGTGTTTTCAATATTTAATATGTTTTGCTAGTCTATATGGCCGTTTTTTGTGTTCCTAGAGTACCTAATTAAGCGAGGTGTTGCTACTGATACTGGTTTCAATATTTTCCGTTCTTCAAACCTGCCTTTGATTTCACCGTACCGCTGGGGTCCTCATTCGGGCGTGAGTGGAAACTTTTTTCTACGTCTACCTTTCACAGAGGTCTTTTTGAAGAATCTATTCATATGGTTCACGCTTCAACCTAATCCTGCGAGGTGTCGCTACTGATACTGTTTTCAATATTTAATATGTTTTGTTAGTGTATATGGCCGTTTTTGTGTTCCTAGAGTACCTAATTAAGTGAGATGTCACTACTGATACTGTTTTCAATATTTCCGTTCTTCAAACCTACCTTTGATTCCACCGTACCGCTGGGGTCCTCATTCGGGCGTGAGTGGAAACTTTTTTCTGTGTCTAACTTTCACAGAGGTCTTTTTGAAGAATCTATTCGTATGGTTCACGCTTCAACCTAATTCCGCGAGGTGTCGTTACTGGTACTGTTTTCAATATTTAATATGTTTTGCTAGTCTATATGGCTGTTTTTGTGTTCCTAGAGTATTCCTTTTCATAAAATAAGTATATGTTACTCCCAAAACATTGAAAAACGCACATTAAACACAAAAAAACGGACCACAAAGCGTTCTGGATGGCGCCAAAAGACAAAATATGGAAATGATATAATGTTTCGCTTTGTGTACCTACGTTCTTCTTGGAAAATTAGGTATTCTGAAGTCCGATGTACCTATATTCTTTGAAAGTTCCAATTCCCCAATGTTATCGATGAAATATAACATTCAGGTACCAGTACGTATAGGTATATCAAAAATGAATAAATAATTGACTTATGCAATGGAAATTAATGAATCTATTGCATCAGCTATACATAAAAGGTTAACATGCACCAGGAAATTGAAATGGAAACATTTTTTTCAAAATAAGTGAATGTATATGCAACGGAGAACTATTTATATAAGGTGAAATTCAGTTCGAGAAGTACACAGTTAGTTGAAAACACAGTGAATTTATATACCAAAGAAGAAGAAGAAGCAAATAACGAATTTGGGGTGAGTGTTTCATTATCATTATTGACTTTGAAAATTTTGATGGAGCTAGATTGAGATAAGTGAATTATTTTTTTAGGTGAGAAATACATGAAATATTCTCTCTAATAGAAATCTTTAATATTGAATGAGAAAAATGAATACTGTTGACGAAAAAATGGTAATATAATCTTGTGCGTGGGTGTCTCTTCACTTTTGAATTATTTTATTTATATTTTAAGGTTCTAAAAGTGATGAAAACTAATCAAGCTGCTTATATACCAACAAGAGCTACTCTTGGATCTGCTGGTTGTGACTTAAGAACACCTACAGATTTCACTATACCTGCTAGAGAGCGATTACTCGTAGACATTTTTTTAAAAATACAACTCCCCCAAGAAGTGTACGGACGGATTGCACCCAGATCCGGATTAGCGTTAAAATTTGGCATAGATATTCTAGCTGGCGTTATAGATAATGATTATACAGGGTCAATTAAAATTCTGCTATATAATTCATCATCTGAAAAAGTTGATTTCAAAAGAGGGGATAAAATAGCTCAATTGATATGTGAACGATATTCTATTCCAATTATTGAGGAGGTTAATTTTTTGCATGCTACTGAAAGAGGGGAAAGAGGCTT